AAAACTGGAAAAATATTAATCAAATTTGGGCCCGAAGCTTGGGGCTAAAGACGTAAACATGAACATGGAACTCACCACAGGACACAGAACCAAACATTAGCGGCGCGTCACTCGAACAAAGAAAATATGCAAATTCAACCTATGCAGCTGATTCTTGTTTTCAAAAATAGTTGAAGTTTTATAATATTTAAAGTATTTACCTTGGGAATTTTTTCAAATCAATTATTACCTGATGTGTGTGTGTGTGTGTGTGTGTGTGTGTGTGTGTGTGTTTTCGTCCTCTGCCGCATATTATTTATGCCGTTGTAGACTGCAAACGTCAAATGAAGTAGATCTTGTTTCTCCAACACCATCCATCTCCACATTTTACAGCCTCTCTCATTAACAGCTCGTAACTGGCCATTGGGCTAAGCTGAAAACAAAGAAGCATTGATTTCCTTAAGCATAATCACCACTTCCAGTCATTTAACGACCGCTGTCACTGTAGGGGCGCGGAGAGAAAAATGACCAGTCGATGGTGCCATCTTCACCCTTCACCTCCCCTCACCGAAGGCTAGAGTGCTCAGATACCCGCTCCATCTTAGCAGGTTAGTTTAACTCCTGACAGACTTCAAGCAGTGCATCCATTACTGCTGCAGTCGAGTCTCAAGCTGTTGTCCCATATTCCACCAGAATGCACAAATAACTCATGTGCACTGGAGCAAAAAACTATCTATTATAAATCTGTTCTGAAAAAAACAGATGTCACGCTTAAACGCACACACCTACAAATTAAAAATGCACATAACTGAGGATAATTCATCTCTGGGTTCCCCCTAATTGAATGGGTTTATGTCTAGTTCAAGTGCTCATTTGTGGTATACAGTAAGTGGCTCTTAAACTCGGTAAAGTAATCATGTAGTCATTTGCACTGGTCGCTCTCTCTCTCAGCACAAACCACATGTTTCACACATTCTACTGGCGGGACCAACACACACACACACACACACACACACACACACACACGCACGCACGCACGCACGCACGCACGCGCACGCACACACACACACACACACACACACACACACACACACACACACACACACTTGTCTGTATGTGTTTTCAAGAAATTCCCTAAAGTCTGTCATTTAGCTGGTGTTTTGTGCTCAGAGTTAACACGTGACAGTCTTGGTATTGGCACATTGGTATAAAGAGACATAATTTTATGATGCAAAACCAACTGGTAGATTAGATTTGGACATATTGAGTTGTGATTATTGTGCATTTGTTTCACTCAACGGATGTCAGGTTCCTGAAATCATGAATGATGGTTGTAAAACACAATCCAACAGACTACTGTTGATATAAAGGAGTGTGCATGGTCTGTAAAAACGTATTGAAGCAACAACATGTGGTAATACTCTCTTGACAAGGACAGCAGAACAGTATCTAGATGCAGCGGGCACGCAGGCCAGTCCTCAAGAGCTGCCATCCATTCATTTTCTATACCCGCTTTTCCAAGCAGGGTCGTGAAGGGTTGGTGCCTATCTCCAGCTGTCTCCGGGCACACCCTGGGCACACACCTGGGGACAATTTATGCTGGGTTGGGCAATCCTGGACATCGAGGGCTGCTATCCAGCATGTTTTAGTTGTGTTTCTGCTCCAACACACCTGATTTCTGAATAAATCACCTGTTCAGCTGCTCATCAGGCTCTGCAGCAGCCTATTAATCACCAGCAGATTGAAACCAGGTTTTGTGTTTAAGCTGAGAAACAATATAGTTAGACAGACCAATCAACCTGTCAGTCATGTTTTTGGACTGTGGGAGGAAGTTGGAGTACCCAGAGAAAACCCATTCATGCACAGGGAGAATATGCAAACTCCATGCAGGAAGACCCCAGGCTGAGATTTTAATCCAGAATCTTCTTGCTGCAAGACAATAGTGTTAGTTACTGATCCACTGTGCAGCCAAGGGGTTCCATCATGTTACAGAAATGCATGCACTTATCAGATTTTAATTTGTTTAAAAATTTTGAAAAAAAAAAACAAGGATCAGTTCAATTCCACTTCACATTGATGTGCTGCCTTGTGTTGGTCTGTCACATAAAGTCTCAATAGAAACATTTAAGTTTTTGGTTGCAGGCATCAAAATGCACAAAAGTTCAATGGGTATGAATGCTTATGCACTGCACTGTGCTGTATGTCTGCTAGACAGATGTGACTGGTGTGTTTATTTTTGATGTGAGAACAATTTGCTCCTTTGATGTGATGAAAAGAGCCAACACACCAATTTAACATGTTTAATTCAAACGTCATTCTACTCTCTATATTCCAAATTACCTGCATAAAACATTTACAGAACATTAAACAAAGTCTCCAGGTCAGAAACCTGACAGTAATGTATTCTACCCACTGTGGGGTTTGTGGTTTTGGCACATTAAAGGGATTTTTCTCCTTGCTTTAAAGTCTGTTCCCTCCTTCCTCAAGCTAAGAAATGTCCAACAACAGTATAGAGAGAGTGACATTAATACTGCATGGCAGCTGGATCCGGCAGGACTGCAAATGTTTGTCTTTTAATCCAAAACTCCTCGGACTTTGGTCTTGGCAAGACAGATGTTGACGGGAATGGAAGAAGAAAACTGTTGCCAAACTTGTCTAGACTGCCGGGTGCTCAGTTCCGTAATTCATGACCCAAATCACTTCAAATATTTGCACAACAGCCCAGGCAGTGGAAAAAAACAAGCAGGTTCTCGTCATGCCAGCAAAAGCAAATACGCCTTCCCTCCGCAGCAGGAAGTCCTCTTTGGCAGAGTGAAATGATGCACTCGCCACATGAAACTCGTTTTTCTCCGGGTCTCTTGTTTATATATTGACCAGGATACATTAAGCTTTCCGTTTCTATCTGATCTCCTGTTCTGGGATGAGCTCCCATTTAAATTGTGGGATATTTGTTTGTGTCTGTTGCTGTCGCCATCATAAGAAGATAGTTTTTCCTGAGGCCTGTAGGAGAGGGTGAAGCGGTGATGGAGGGCCTTTCTCCTGCAGCTCCGCTGACTGCCTTACCACTGTGCTTTATAATTGTGTGAAGGGGCACTTCCAGTGGCTACCTCATTACTCACTGGCACGGCCAGTCACTGGCAGGAAGACACACCTTGTCCTCTAGCTCTCTCTCTCCCTGCCGATTTCATTCATTTTCAGGGTGTCCCACAGCTCCATCACCCCGTTGCCCTCCCCTGGGGAATCCTCACAATTGTTTTTTTTTCTGACCCTCTAGTGCCATTGGCATATATCACCTTCTCTGCTCTGACATCCTCCTCTGTTAAACTGGGACATACTGTACCACATTAGCTCTGACTGATGTCACCTACACTTTGGGGTTAATGCTTCACCGTGGTGCAGCTTGAGACCACGTTGGCACCGTCACAAGAGTCAAATGTGTCAGCTATCACAGCTCTCACGCCGCGGCTAGCTGAAACAAATGTTTCACTCTTTTTGTATCCATGCTGAAAACATAGGACAACTGTTACAAGCCCTGGGTCTTGCTGTCCCATCCTTAGAAGGTCCAGCGGCCCCATGGTCTCTTAAGGCTCATTTTGTCTATTCCTAGAGGATCATCACGCTGGAGAACGGCGCTCCAGCACACACTGCTTTCCAGGTTCCCTGCCTGCGACTCAGCATGTTCAGCACCATGGAGAGTGACACTCCATGGATCTTACTCGATCCAGCTGGAGCAACTCGGCTCTTGATGAGCTACCTTTAAAGAGCAAGTCACCCCTTACAAGAAGCGTACTTCACTCCCACTTCATGTTTGAAAAATGCAACAAATGCTGTTGCCTAGCAGACAGAGAGGGTGGAGCCACTAACAACTACACACACTCACGACATTGTGACATCATAATGTACCAGTTTACATCATAGCATACCTCTTAGCCAATAGCGGTGGCAGATTTAAATTCAAATCCAGTGAAGTGTTTTTACCTGACAACGGCACAACACTGACAGTTTCAGGTAGAAATTTTAAATTTTAACTAAAATGCACTAAAGTGCAAAACTATTGACTACACGTATCTGCAGCACGATTAGACATGCATTTATATAGTTTATCAGAAAAAAATAGTTTATTTGGGGATGACTTGCTCTTTAAAGACTGGTGTTTGTCACCCATTCGAGGAGGGTGTCAGATTCTATCTAGTACTCTCCACAGCTACTGGGAGCTTTGTTCATGAGAGACTTTGTGACTGGGATAATTTCCCTTCGTGTTATGAGCTTAATGAGCTTTATTAGCTATTGTGAGCTAATGTGCACTTTATGTGCTTTTGTGAGCTTTATCTGCTTTGGTTGTTTCAGGTTAGCTCCTGTTGGCTCATGTTGTTTAGTAGTTCCTGCCTTTAGATCAACTCACTTGATAGCCATCGCTTTCTGGTTTAATTTATGTTGTGTTTTATAGCAACCACCTTTAATTATATCCCGAATATTTAGTTAAGAACCTTTTTGTGCTTATAATTGCCTTCTACCTTTTGTAGAGGGGATATGTAGGTTAAAATAAACCTTTTTCAAACAGAAGCTGTGCCCTTTTTCGTTATTTTAGTTGGTGTAGATTTGTTTTACTTGTGTTACCCCTTGTTTGTGTAACAACAACTAAAGTAATGCTGAGCAGGGCACATTAATAACTAGTGAGCATGCTATGTTCTTCATGAGAGTCATCCCGAGCTGATTGGTGTGAAGTGAAGACAGCCTGCACTGAATGAGGGGCAATTTGATGACATAATTGAGATTCCTTGAGGGCCAATTAGTTACACATACTTACAGTGTAAGAACCCGATGATTGCAGCACGGCTCGGCTCGCATAATATCATCAGCAGAAGTTTCACTGAGCTAATCTCTCATTCACAATACGGCCGCTTGCTCAGAGAGTGTGTTAATTAATAATAAATGATAAAACGGTTGCTTTCATGAGGTATTTTGTGTGTTTTTTTTTTTCACCTTTCCTGACCACAGTTTTTCTGTTTTTCTGTCTTCAGAGGGCGGAACGTGTGAGGTGATTGCTGCCCACCGGTGCTGCAACAAAAACCGTATTGAGGAGCGCTCTCAGACGGTCAAGTGTTCCTGTTTACCTGGAAAAGTGGCTGGGACAACACGCAACAAGCCCTCCTGTGTGGATGGTGAGATCATCTAATGTTACCTAACATCGTGCTGCTGACCGGTCAGAGATTAACTCTGTTATGAATGCAAGTGGTCCTGCTCCAGTCAGTACGGTCTGATTTTACACACTCAGTAAAAACACAACTGGAGTAGACACACCTTGTCCTTGTTGTAGAATAATAAAACAATAGTGAAGTGGTTGTCTTGTGCCGATACTGTTAAGGGAAAGAGTTTTTGGAACGATCACTGATCCCATTACATAACTGAATTCAGGGGTTTTCAAAGCTGCTGTTCAAAGTTTGTTATAGGATAGAAGTTGTTCATTTGAGGCACAATTGTCAGTTTTGATCATTTAGATGTTTTCTGAACACCAGAAAAGGTTCTTATTGTTATGTTTTTACATCTCACAAGTTCTTAAATTTAGGTTTTGATGGAATGTTTTAAGGCAAAGATCACATGCAAACCATTTTTGCTTCACATTGAAAATTGGCATTCATGGACTCACGCATCTTGGCTCATGATAAAGAAGGCTGTAGTTGATTTAGCATCCAGGGGAAAGCAGAGCTGGTCTCCACTAGTAGAAGCTAACTGTTATATTGGCAACTTCACAACATGACAGAAGATCTTCAGGCTTCTGTTATTTGTGGAGATTAAACATCAACGTTGCAAAGAAAACAGAATTAGTAGTAGAGCCGCATTACTGTTAGCTAATCAGAGGCGAGATGTCCAAATATCAGGACATAACACTCAAACCCTGCCATTTTCTGCTTACCTGTGGTCTGGCTCACTTCTAGTTCTTGATACAGGAGCGTGAGAGCTTTCTTCCCATGTAGATTGACTCACAAGTGCTTTAAACTTGAGACCACTAATAAATTTAATAATAAAGTAAATTAACAGTGATATATTTACAACAACCACAACAATGCAAGTACACGAAAAAAATAATAAAAACCAAAGGGAAAATATCTCTGAATATTGGTTTCACAGTTCTCCAACTCCACTCAGTTCTGGTTTCTATTGAGTTTGACTATCACAAGCTTTACAGTCTTGTTGCATCAGCAGATCAGAAGGTTCATTTTGGGTAGCTCAGTGGTTAACTGAGGGAGATATCATGAAGGAAAACGTAATTTACAAAATGGAGAAGAGGAAGAAATTGGTCCTGGAACATAGGGAAAAAAAGTGGTGTCTGAGGGTGGAAAAAAAAAACCTGACTAAGAGGTAGAGGTATTTCAAACACATACCACACATACCCAGGTAACAGGGAATTACTGCAAATGGTTGAATCAGTGTGCCTATCACCAGAATTCACTGCTTCCTGGTAGTGTGGAGCATCTTCAATCCAGGTTAACATAGACCGACTCACAGTAACATTGAGCAATGTTCTAGAGGGAAATATACAGCAGCCAAACCTGGAGCAGCCACACATGCTGGAAGACCTGAGCTGAATGTCTGACTCAGCACTTGAGGTGCAGCAGCTGTTAATCAGCTGGGGCACACACCTTTTAAGGGGCGTGTCCAAACATGAGGAGCACCTCTCCTGTTGCTCTGGGTCACCTGGGTCTGGATTACACAAGCCCCATTCCCACCTGTACCGGGTCGGCCCGGGCCGGGTAGCGTAGGTTGTTTACTTATCTGGGTGGCCTGGAATTTTCCCGGGCCAACCAAGGCTCATTCTCGGCCCTCTTCCCGAGGGGTACTGCTTCAGGCCGACCAGGGCCAACACGCCCACTGCTGACAGCAAATTCACACCTTCCATTAGAGCAAGCCTCTGATTGGTGGGTAGAATCAGCCCACATGGGCTTAAGGCAAGGATGTGTGGAATCAACCGGGCCAGGCTGGGGCCGACTGGGGCTACCCGGCCCGGGCCGACCCGGTACAGATGGGAATGGCCCAACAGAGTTAGTAGTAGAGCCGCATTGCTGTTAGCCAATCAGACGTGAGATGTCCAAATATCAGGACATAACACTCCACACCCTGCCATTTTCTGCTCACCTCTAGTCTGGCTCACTTTTAGTTCTTGATACAGGAGCATGAGAGCTTTCTTCCCATGTAGATCGACTCACAAGTGATTTAAACTTGAGACCACTACAAATGTCTTGAAAACAACACATGAACTTCGTCTTATTCACATATTCATTCATTTGCTTTTAACTTCATTATACCATAATCTTTTTTTCAGCTTTTTTTTCACTTATTTCCCTCTTCATAACCAATTAAACAAATCAAACAATTAACCCTTGGGAGAACATGCTTTTCCAAAAATTAATATTTCATTGTCAAATGAAACTTTAGACCTGAATGATCTGACCATATAAAATATTTTTACATTAGAATAAAAAAATGTGTATTAATGATGTACATCAAATGCTGTACAATGTACATGACAGTGATTAAAAAGGGAAGTTGACTGTCTATGCACTACATACAGTCCATGTGTCCAGTTTACAAACATGATGTATGGTTGCAGAATCAGATACTGTATTTTTTAATCAAATAAAGATTCAGTAGAGCCAATCACTTCTCTTGTTTTAAAATCATACTTTTTGGTGCAGAAACTTTACATTCTCAGGTAAAAACTGCTAGAAAAACACATAATAAATCAAGACTATTTTGTGATGTTTCCACTTTTTCTGTGAAGCCCATTGTCCTAATTATCCCCCACCAACTGCACAGGGAAAATAAATGTGCCACATGATATTAAATGAATTAGAAACAGCTGCAGCTGTGAGAATAATGTTTCATGTAAACTGAGCTGTCTTCATAAAGGGTCAAAGGTGAACTCAGACCAAGGTGTGAGAGGTAAACATGTGCAAATGCCACCTGAAAGTCCGAGTTTGACCCCAAAACAGGGAAAACAACAATCTATTAAAGTCAGTGATGAAATATAAATGAATTTGTATCTAAATGTTGTGGAAACAGTTCAGTCGGTTTGACCCTTGATCTCATTAGATGGTGAATTATTATTATATTATTTATACAGTGTGCTTTTTATCTGTCGTGAGTTCTTTATTAGATCTAGTCTTTCTCCTATTTTGACTTTTTCACTATGCTTGTACTTTCAAAAAAGTGTTTATTTGATTAGTAGAATTTCCTTTAGTTTGCTTCCTGTTTCATTTCTTCTCAACATGAATTTTGTACGGCTGCGCACAGCGACATTTGTGGGTTCTCTCCAGGTACTCTGACTTCCTCTCACAGTCCAGTAATAGAAAGATAAAGTCAAAGTTGAAGTCTCATTAATTCATCACACACAGGTGAAATTCATCTCCGCATTTGACCCATGCCTGTGGGAAGAGGTGACCTGCAGCTGTGGCTGTGCTCGGAAACTATTTGGTGGTTTCACTGTTAGGTCAAAGGTTAACTGTTCTCTGAAATTGTCCTTAGGTGTGACTGTATGCATGCATGGTTGTTGGTCCTGTGTGTCTCTGTGATGGACTGCAATGTCTAATCTTTGGTTTGTCCAAAAGACTGCTGGAGATAGGTGAGAGCTGGAGATTTAGTTGTGCACTGCCCCCATCACCAGGAAAATACACATTGTCGCTTTAAATTCAGACTTTCAGACATAACATAATTCAAAAAGGCCCAAATAAAAATATAACATTTGTAGTTTTTAAAATGTTAGAAGACAAATCTGTTGTACACAACCAACATACAAAGCAGAGGCAGATTTGACTTCCTTTGTCAAATTAGTCTGATTTACTATAACCGTTGATAGCACATTAAACCACTGTAACAAATCAGAAGAAATACGGGCTCAGGCTGAGCTGCAGCACCTGTTCAGTCACTACATCAAAATGAAAACTCTATATTTGTATTGTCAGCTTCTCTTTTTGTTGGCAGCTTTCTTCTTGTGGTTTGCGTTACAGTGTGGGCAGTTGTTGTCAGTGGTGGAGCAGCTACTTTTCCTGGATCATTTGCTGCCACAGCCTCCATCACCTGTAGGATGTGAACACACATTTATATTTATAGAAAAGTCAACTCCCTCTGTGTGAATGCATGTGATTGGCCCAAGTCTCCCATCATATGTTAAGACTGTCTTAAGTTTGAATACCGTGCCAAGAGGGGGGCGGAGAGGGCTGCTTCTCACAAAATAAAATAAAAAATCAATATTCTGAAGGATAGAAGTTTAAAAAAATTATCTTTAACAGATGATGGCAGAAATACTTCACATGTTTTAATAAACTCTTCCTAAAAAGAACATGGTATTTTATAACATTTTCTGCTGTCTGTGATATTTCTAATGGCAAAAAGGCATTCAGCTGTGAAGACGTGCAGTGCTGTGCTCCCGGGCATCATAGGAGATAGACACAAGATGATCCAGTTCAGCTGTTGAACACCTGAACAGGGAGCACATTGCAGATCACATCGCTGAAGGCATTTCAGGCTGATGGAAATGAATAACTAATGAATAGTCAGGAAAGCTTCAGGCTAGTGCACCTGAATTACCTCTGCTAGTGAGTAAAAAAAAAAAAAATAACCAAGGAGGGGGTAAATGACAGGAAGTCACTCGTCTGCTGAGACAGAGCATAGATGGCCCTTCACTCGTCCGAGCTCATTTATCACTCCTCAGTCTGGATCCTTTCACCTTCACCCCCAGCAAAGATCAAAGTTATTTCTCTGAGTGCCCTCTCACAAAGAAAGGACACCAAGATATCTTTATTAGCTGGTAAAGAGAGGAGGGGGCAGATGGGTTTGCTCAGTGGAAGCCAGAGCTGGCACTTCATCCCAGAATTAAAAATAGAACTTTTCCATCAAGTAACAAGAAAAAAAGGAACTTCAGACTTGCTGGATTTTGTACCTGAATGTAACCAGATCCTTAGATTACTGAGTAGGTTTCTTAGAGAGATACGAATCATTTAACAACAAAGAATCTCACTCAATACAATATGTCTACCTTTTGTGCACTTTCAAGTAAAATGAGAGGACTTATCATCAGGAGGAAAATCACATTCAACAAGCTAGAAGGGAAAAAGAAGTGCTGCCACATTCCTCCAGTGTGAGAGGATCTAATTATCCATTATCA